AAGATTTGCATAGAACATCACGTCTGAAAAATACACTACAAATTTAGATGAGAAAACTACAAATTTAGATAGGTAATTGTTGTTTAACAAGGGCCCTGTTTACTCCTGGTATAAAGATGCTTTTGGTCGATCACAAGTAGACGAGGGAGGACAATTTACATATGAACGTGGTCAGTAGGCGGAGAGTAGGCGTTGTTTTGTGGCTGTTTGAACACATTCGACCATGTGAGCGTTAACACTGAAAGCAATTCGGTCGAATGTGTTTTCTAATGGATGTGGTTGAAAGTGGACAAGCTCAAAACCCTTTAGACCCCGTTTACACATGTATTTAGTGTGGTCCGATCGACAACAACACATTTTAATACCAGGTGTAAACAGGTTAGACAAGTATGTACACTAGGCTGTTCTAGTGTCTAGTTCTTTTTAAAGAAATTAATACTTTTATTTTGCAAGGATGCATTGAATTGGTGTGACGGTGACAGTAAAAACATGTATTATGTTACAAATAAATTATATCCTTTATATTCATCAAAGGATACTGTAAAAAGTATCAGAGTTTCCTCAAGAATATTAAGCAGCACAACTGTTTTCAACATTGATAATAATAAGAAATTTTACTTGAGGACCCCAAATCATTATTAGAATGATTTGTGAAGGATCATGTGACTGAAGACTGGAGTAATGATGCTGAAAATTCAAAGTTGCCATTAGAGGAATACATTTTAAAATATACTCCAACAGGAAGCAGTTTATTTAAAATTGTATATATATATATATATATATATATATATATATATATAATTTGAAAATATATATTATATATTAATATATATATTATAATAATTATTGTGCTTTGGTCAAATAAAGCATAAACGAGCATAAAAAAGACTTACAGACTTGGCGAGCATAAAAAAGACTTAGCCTACAAACGCCAAACCTTAAAAACATTTTTTCCCCCAAAGTTTCGGATAAGATCCAGTGGCATTGCATGTCCTGCAAGAGAGTAAGCGAGAGAGAAATAATGATGTGTGTGTGTAAAAGTGACAGTGATGGAGAGTGACTGAGAAAATTGTAACCTTTCTTGCTATGAACATTTTGACGGTGAAAAATGAAAAAGACATGACAAGAAAGTCTGATTTTGTGAAAGAGGAGCCAGAGAGGGCGAGGTTAAAAAAAAAGTAGCTGGAGTTCAAGAAATAGATTTTCTGTTCGTTTCATGAGTAACACACCCCGAGAGACATAGAAGACGGATGACCATTATGAGGAATTGACTGTACCCAAGTATGTCATTAACTAATGTGCAATTAACTAATGTGCAATGTCTTCAAAGTTTCTTCTTTTGTGTTCCTAGTTAGAAAGAAAGTCATACAGGTTTGGAATGAAACGAGAGTGTAAATGATGACAGAATGAAAAATTTCGGGTGAACTATGCCTTTAAAGTTGTTTTGTTCTTTTTCTCTCAGCATTATGCAACAGTTTTGAGGGTGTGTGTGATCTCTCAGCTCCAGAATCGTGATCAGTACTAAACCCGTGCGCAGGGAACCTTGGGGATTCTGTGCCGAGAGCAGGTGACGGCTGTGATGCTCGTCTTTTTTCCTTTAATACTCGCTCAAAAAGAGAAACGGATCAAAGAGGGAGAATAAAGAGACAGATCAATTTTTCATGAGAGTTGGGTTATGAACATCTGCAAAATCTCTTCTCTGCTCAAAGTTTGCCATGCTGTAGCAGACAGACAGCCAGGACAGTGAATATAAGAAAAAGTCTAAAGTCTTTCACTTGTTGTAGAGAGAGCCGGCAGTGATATCCTGTTTCAGTGAATTATTAAAAGATGACGTCAGTGTCTCTGGGTCTACAAACACAGTGTGACTCGTGAAACCACATTTAAAGGCGTAGTTCACCGGAAAACATTTACTATTTATCTATGTTGTTCTAAACCTGTATGTGGAACACAGAAGGATTGTTTTCACACAGCCCTTTTCCATTTAAAGGCCCATTTACACCAAGGTTGATAACTACGATGATTACGATGCGATTACGATTAAAATATAAAAGAATGGCAGAGACCATAACAGCACAGAGAAACAATATCGTTGGAATCACTTTCAGAACAATATTTTTCTGCTGTAAAAACCTTGACAGCCAATCAGAATCCATCCTGCTTTAAAGAGTGGGAGACCACAAAACTGCAGCTCGTGCTTCGAATAAACAGAACATAACTATTATAGTGATTGTTACTTATCTTTATAGCTTTAATTCTTGGTGTTAACCCCAGTTTGTTCCAAACCTGTATACATTTCTTTGTTCTATTGAACACAAAGGAAGATATTTTGAAGAATATGGGCAACCAAACAATTTTGACTTCTATAGTATGGATATTGGACAAAAAATACTGTGGAAGTCAATGGTGCCCCACCGCTTACCAACATTCTTTAAAATATCCTCTTTTGTGTTCAACAGAACAAAGAAATGTATACAGGTTTGGAATTGGAACAACTTGTGGGAGAGTAAATGATGACAGAATTTTCCTTTTTTAGGTGAACTATCCCTTTAACGGCCAATTCCCACCACACAGACACTTCGTCGGATCAGTGTTTTTCTCCTGTCAGAGTCTGTTAGTGTCTGTCAGAGTTTGTTGAACATGCAGAATTGGAGTTAGAATGTCTGAGAAGTGACGTGCTGTAATCTGGTGGCTGTCGCCGTTGGTCTGTGTCAGTCGGACTCAGTTGAGTGTGAATTGGCCTTAACCGCTCAAATTTTCCTTAAAAGAAAAACAGTATATAAGTTTTACAATCAGTTATAATTCTGATTCTTAATAATTGCATCCATTTTTTTTTTCAATGAACTGTTGCTTTAGGTTAATTTTCAGCTGAATTTTGCACAAAGGAAGATATTTTGCTTTAGCTTCCATACAATTCCATCCATTCAATACCATTCCATTCCATTCCATTCATAGCCTCCATTCAATTCATGAATTGGAATTTGAATTGAATTGACTCCGCCCCACAAGAAGTTGAATTGGAATTGGAATGACAGGAAGTGGAACTAAATTCAAAGAAATTCCACACAGTCACACACCAGAAAGAATGTGTTGAATCTCACATACATTCAGTGTTAGGAAGGTTACTTTGGAAAAGTAATTGCTTACTGTTAGAAGTTACCCATTATAAATGTGGTTTGGATTACTTTATCAGTGTAAAGCAATTTCCTTTTAATTTGGTTAGTAACTTTGAATTACACATTTTACCTCAGTTATACAATTAAATTCATTTTATAATTTAATAACATCATTTCACCGTAACTAGTCACTCCTCAACCCAGCATAAACAAATGTCAAACTCAAATTGTTTTTTTGTTTTTTTTTTAAGATTTACTAAAGTAATATCATGTCAAGACCATCATGTTCCACAAAGTTACAATTACAGTAAATCAAACTTAATTATTTGTTCTATGACTAGAGCTTTTAACAGTAATTGCTGGTGGAAAATGTTTTCTGTTAATGTGATCTATACAAGTAGTTCAAACTAATATCAATTATAGATTATGTATCTGACATAGGCCTATACTGTAAAGCAGGGGTTCTCAACTCCAGTCCTCGCGACCCACTGCTCTGCATATTGTGTATGTCTCCCTTATTTAACACACTTGATTCAGATCCTCAGCTCATTAGGATAGACTCTTTTGTCTATCCTAATGAGCTGGATCTGAATTAAAACTACAGCTGTGCTGTAATAGTGTTGCAATCACTGAAGTGTTGAGAGAGAGAGAGAGAGAAAGAGAGAGAGAAAGAAAGAAAGGAAGACAGACAGAGAAGTATGCATGTACAGATCAGCCTACAGTGATGAGTCACATCCTGCAAGTTTCTGCTCCTCTTTAGTTATTTACTTATCTGTCTGTTTTTAATTAGAGTTGCCCAATATCTACACCACCACAAAAGCCCATGGTCATCATTAGCTTCATGACGGACTCAAACGGGGGCAGCAAGCACTACAAACTTTTCCTCACGACTCGCTTCACAGTCATGTGCTCTAAAAAGTGAGGGTACAGTGAGCAACATATATACATATGCCATATATTCCCTGTGGGAAGGATTTTCAGTTGACAGGATGTGGTTTGTTTTGAACACTGGGAAGATGGGATTGAGCTAATCCAGGAGATTACTTTCACTCCGGGAGGATTACAGGTGTCTCAATCTTCTCTAAATCAGACACCGGTAATAAAAGCCACAATATTAGATTATTGTACTGCACTTTTCATTTCTACCTCAATATATTATCTTTCTTTGTGTGTGACTGTGTGTATATCTGCTCACCAAGGCTGCATTAATTTAACTAGTTAATTAATTTAAGCATGAATATTATTACAATTTCAACATTTTATTATACTATTGTTAAAATGCAATGTGGTGGCAAAGCTCAGTGTCACATGATCCTTTATCATTCTAAAATGCTGATTTGCTGCTCAAGAAACATTTCTTATTATTGTTGAAAACAGTTGATATATATTATATATATATATATTAATAACTGAAGAGAAGAAGCACCAACATGGATCCGGGAATCTGAAGGATCTGGAGAGATTATGAGATGTCATTAATTCTGACCACAACTATATATATATATATATATATATATATACATATCTATATCACAGTCTTGTGCTCTAAATATATATATATATATATATGTAAATACATACTACTCTCCCAATATACTGTATACAGTATAAATAGTGTAGCCTACACTGTACAGAAATAAAATAAGCTACAAATGCTGTATAGTATACAAGCTGGCAGCATGTGCCTGTCTAAATATTAGCAAACTAATTCTAGACACTAATTCTAATCAAGGATTCATTTACTCGAGGACTGTTCTGTAGGTAATGGATAGCCCAACTGAAGTAGGTCTAAATACAAATGTGTGCTGTTCAGATTAATTTAATTAAGATGTCTATGAAGTCCAAGTGAAATCGATGAGAAGACTGTCTATTGCCCTGTCTTTTCAGGTCATGTCCCAGGCGGAGGGCCAACAGAAGAACCTGGTGAATTCAATCGAGTCGTTGCCGAGCCGCGGGCCGCTGTCTTCCCTGGATCAGGACCTGCTCCTGCTCAAAGCCACGTCTGCAGCCACACTCAGCTGTCTGGGAGAATGCCTGAGTATCCTTCAGCACAACGTGTGCCAGGCTGCCCAACACATCACCCACAGCCACACACAGGGATCCAATACAGGCGAGAGAATATGGCGCTGTCTGTCTCTTTTGAAATGTGTGATGAGTGTTAGTTCTGCGTACCAAAATGTGTTCTCTTGTTACATCATATATATCACATTATAGTCTTATTTATTGTATTGGCAGCTTCGTTTGATGTTCAGTATCCACGAATAATAGTACATAGTGAATGTATGATAACTGATATTGTACTTGTGCAGATAACATCTCTACTTGGTCAAGGCCCAAAACTGCCCCAGAAGACCATGTGATTAACGGAGAATTGGCACGTAACAACACCTCAGCCATACATCAGCCCCACTCCCCTGTTCATAGGAACAAAGAACGCCTCAAAAACACAGAGGTATTTAAAAATATGATTCATTTGTATTATTTTATTATTTTAGAAATGCTGCCTGAAACTTTCACTACTACTTTCAGTTTATTGTCCTCAAAGGCAATTCTTTGTGTAGATAGCAGTATGCACATACACATCTAACAACATAACACACAAATTACAATTTAATTTATGAAATGCATCCATTACTCTCGCTTTTGGACGCTGTTTAGAAAAGGACACATATGTATTACATGTGTATGTATGTTTTTCCTAGCATCCTTTACATTTTGGATAACAGTTGCAAGTAAAGATACAAATTTTATTTTAATTGATTAGTTAATATAATTTTATTATCTATTGTATTTTATTTCAACTTTATCCATTTCTGTCACTTTTAGACAGTTTTACTGTAGAAAAGGACAGATTTTGTTTTTAGATATTTTTTTAGATATTATGTTTTCCCTAGCATCCTTTACATGTTGTATAGCAGTTGCTCAAGAAATATTTCTTATTATTATTAATGTTGAAAACAGTTGTGCTGCTTAATATTCTTAAGTAAGCTGTAATACATATATATATATAAGTTTAATATATGATATATTATTCATGTGCATGTATATACATACATATACTGTATATACTTGCACATGAACTATATATAATATATTAAACTTATATATTTATAACTTATTACTCATCCAAGTTCCTTAGCAGCACTTTCTCCCTCGCTTTCTTCAAAGAAAACACCCCTGCAATACAGTCATCATTACACCCATCATTATCGTTCTGAAGCTGGCAGCTCTGTGACACGCTGCTTATCACTTTTAAAGGGAAATGATCTTTCAGGGGTAAAATCTGTCACCGGGATCTGTTCAGCTTATCTGATAATAGCCCATAAAAATCAGAAAGGTCTCTGGCTCATTTAAAGTCTCCCGTAGACATGTCTTTGAAAAGTTTCAGAAGCGTGGCTGCGCTATTGTACGCATGCCTGCCAGACTTCTGCAGCGAACGAGTGAAAGAGGAGCACTAATTGGACGTGTTCTAGTTTTAGCATCTGTAGCGGGTGACTGAGGATACCCACAATCCCTCTGGAGCCCTGAATGAGTCAGCCCGTCCCTCTTGGAAACCTTTTATCCGCCTGCGTTCCTCTGGATAGAGGCCAGGGCTGCTGTTTCTTCGGCGTAACTATGCAACTGTTTGTTTGCGTGGCGTGTGCATAAACAGGTTCATTTGTGTGTGAGCGTGTGCCTGAAGGGAGCTAATTCATTTTTGCGGTTGCTTTGTGTGTGCTTGTCATTAAATCGGCACCCTATGAGGATGAACGTACTCGCAGAATGCAACAGACAGAATCTGTGCTATGTTTTTGTTTTTTTCTCAGATATAGCCAGTGTAATGCATCTTATTAATTTAACATTGTGACTCATATCATTAAACCTTTAAATCACTCAGTTCGCACTTCGTTGAATATTAAAAAGATGAGGATAGCACAATGCTAGTGTAAAACAAGTGCACAGTCTGTGTATAGTTCAGTTATTTTAATGCGCTTCCAGCACCAAATGCAGTTTTACAAATGTAACATCAGCACTGACTGCATGGCTCATGGATAATCTAGGCATGAAACCAGCAAAGACAGTGAAATATGCTGAAATCTGAGGTCTGAATTGGGTTCATATGAGCCCCATCAATCAATCCCATCATACTGCATATAAGAGCCTCCTTTTTTGGAAGTGCAGTGCATTTACAGTTTCTGCTGCTGAATGGATGCTGTGCGTCACACAGGAGTGCTCTGGTAATCTTTATCACACTTTGGATATTGCAGCCCTGGAGATACGTAATTATCCGAAGTCTTTGCGCCGCGTAATGTAATTGCCATCTCCAAAAAGTCACTTCGGTTTCTGTGGGAATTGAAGGAATAGTTCATCCACAAATGAAAACCGTGTCCTCATTTACTTACCCTCATGTCATTCCAAAGTCAAACCGTATGACTGATGGACTTCCATTGAACACAAAAAGAGACCTTTTGCAGGAACGAAGTCATCTTCACTGTGAATCTAATCACTAATCACATGACTGTTAGTTCTAATGTGTTAAGTCAAGTATGTGATGTATATAGATATACATGGTCTTTGACCTGAGCATCCTTAGACTGGACTTTTCTGCACATCTGAGACCATTACATAAAACATTTCCATCTCAAAAGTGAATAAGAACATAATGCACTATAGAAGCCGTAAAACATATTTCACACTTTATGTGAGGTAAAAGACCTAAACTTAAGTCATTATTCAATGAAAATCTTTACTTTCACCCTATCTCTCATTAGCACATTCGTGAGTTCATATAAGAAGTGGTGAAGTATGATCCACAAATTAATTTTTAAATTTGACTCGACACATTTGTGATTTGACGACAAGCTTATAATCAATTAAATCATAAAAAAGTCAAAAGTCATAAAAATCATTTTAAGATAAAAAAAAAAAAAATCCGAAAAAAAAAAAGATCCGCACACAAAAATTGGCCAAAAGGCTCACAAGATTTTATTGTCCAGAGGCCACAAATAAATTGCATAAGTGCATGGTGCGCAAACCTTTTTCAGGTTAAGACCTTCAGCAGTATCATACACCTGCAGTCATTTACAAACGTATTACCGTAATCAGTGTAATATATTGCAATATAAAAAAATATGTTGTTGTATACATGTCATGTGACGGACCATTATCCTAAATCAGAGAACCGTGAACATACGAATATGTTGGTAAATTATTAAAAGCTGCAGTCCGCAGTTTTTCCTCTTTGTCTCCATCTCTGTTCCAAATCTGCAATTGCAGTTAGTCATGGAATTATTAACTCTACGTGAATTGTACTTCGGCACGCCACAGGGTGGATGAACACAATGTTTGAGGAGACTGTGAGGCTGTCAGTCACCGCTCCGGTGTGGATACTGGCATTCAGAATCACAGATTATACTTTTTGGAAGTATGACCAACATAAGAATTTTCACTGGAAAATGTCATCTGAACTAGTAAGAAACATCCACATTGCAGTAAATCTAAAAATCGCATATCATATCACGCAAATTATACATACTTTGTTCTCAAATTGTTAATGTTAACAACATCAGCATTGTGTGACTACATGTACTGTCCTTCTGATATTATTCTTGTTTTCACATGGGTCCGGTTGCAGTCACTTTTCTGTATCCACTCCGAAGTCCGAACAAAGTCTTGTGTATTTTACAGCGGGTGAATCAGTTGTCACTGGTGATTGTCGTTTGAACCTTTCTGGATCCGCCATCAAATTGCTAAGTTTAATTATATCAAGTGTTGTGAGAAAAGGCTACAAATCTCCACCTCCAGCATCCTCACGCGCAAAATAGCTACTAGCCGAGACTCTTCTTTATATGTACAGATGTGACGTAATGACGCAAAGACATGCTTGAATCTCCCGCGGAAATCCATCAGTACCACTGGAATTTAAAACATTATTACAAGCTTACCGCTTTGAATCGAGCTACGGCAAGCAGATAGATTTGAACACTGGCTGCTTATGAATTTTCTCAAATATCAATTTTGGATCATTTTTAACCCAAAAAAGCTATGGACTGTAGCTTTAAATACTGTATCTTAAAATCTTAGGGGGTATTTCAAGTAAAAATTTGAGGTCAAAAGTGTTTCGCCTGACAAAAAATATGGCGCATCAGAATGTCCGATTACTTATAACGTAATTACATTTGATAGATGGCCATGAGTCGATGGAGTCTCTACTCTCCCAATGAGAATGGCCTGGCCGGTAGTTCAGCCATACCAGTTTAAAATTCACAGGGATTGCTCAAGGATATAGAGGGAACACAACAAATGATTAGCCAAGCGATTTATTCAGCAGCCGCCCCAGAGATTCTTCTTGTCTGAATGCAAAAACAGCAAGACATGCTGTAAAGCTGCCGCCGAGAGGTTATAAATCTTGGCTGCGTTTGGGATTGGAGCGACGGGACTTCTGCTGGCCAAATGCCAACGCGTTCGTCTGAGTCTTTTAATTGACAAATATGTACCTTTTGTGTGTTTAAATGCCTGCAGATTGTGTTTGCTCTGATGTGAATGAAATATAACGCAATCTCTCGTGGCAGATTGCCTATTGTTTTCTTTATTAGAATGGCTGTACTTCATCGTAATATCCAGTAGAGGAAGGCAGAGTGCAGAAAAAATTGCTGTGATTGAAGATTGCAAGTGAACCGCAGAGAGAAGCAGTCACGACTAGCGGTCACGACTGAATAAAGCTGTCTGGGAAGGAAGTGTATAGGTTTGTGTTATGTACACAGAGCGCTTAACTGGTTCTTTTTTTAAGACAACATTTGTATTGGATTTTTGGACTCCTACTGTAGGATTGAAATGAGGCTGTCAGCAGTCTCAACTCCGAAAGGAGAGAGGGAGAGAGAGATTTCAGGGTTGTCTGTCTGTTCATGGTCTGATCGCTCTCTCTTGTGTGCTGTCAGAGGAAAAATAACGCCAGCAAAACTGCAGGGAACAGAAAAACAAAACCGAGCTGTGAGACATGGCCCATCAAGCATACAGATCCCAGATGTTTGACAGGAGAAGCAGCGGTGCAGATCTCTGTCAAGATTCAAATTGGTGTGTGTATGGGTGTTTGGTGTCTCTCGGGTGAGGTGTTTGTGTGTGTGAGAAGGCAAACATCTGTCCTCATCACTGTTGGGGCAGAAAGGTAACACACTCAGGAACACAACAGGGAGGGTTTGAATTTGTGTTCTTATGGTCAGTTCACCAGAAGTACTAGGGTTTAGCAGGGATAGATAAGTAATGTATCGATTTGGTTCATATTTTGATTTCAGTAATTTTGATTTACAAGAACTCAGACATTAATGATGGTTTTGAAGTTAAACTCCCACAAGCACTTGATATTATTAACAGTATTTGTTCTTCATTTTTTCTTTTTCTTTTTGTGTAACCCTATACAATAAGGCCTCATTTCTTAACATTGGTTAATGCTTCGGCTAATATAAATTATCAATG